AAGTGGTCTGCGTCTACCGACATGGCTCAGTATAGAAGTTAGTGACTTCAGTGACTGATGCCACATTTTGTTTTGCCCGCCCACAACTTTCTTCCAGCCATCTCCAACACCAGTCAGCATTGCGCGTCGTGGTAAACGGTGTTCAGGCATACGTAACACGTGGCTCAACTATCTCAGTCGATGAAGACTTACAACCTCATCAACTGATTTGCCTTCATTCCTTAATACCCTGCGTCTAACCACACTATTACTTACCCGGTGATCCCAGCAGATGCCAGCAATATTTCTAAGGCATCTGTGGTCAAATACTAGTAGCTTACGAGTATATTCTACTCTTAATGGCCACATTTCGAAGCTGTAAAGTAGAACAGAACGAACTACCACACAGTATACTCGTTCCTTACTTGATAGGCGGATATCTCGCCTTCGCCATAAGGTGACATAAATTGGCAGAAGCCAAAGGAGCTTTCTGAATCCGTGCAGAGATTTTGTCAGACACCAACCTATTAGGGCTGATCAGACTTCCGAGATAAGTGAAGTTGTCAACGCGTTCTACAAATTCATTCCCTATCCTTAGTTCAGGTGATGACACAGGCCAGTCTTGAAGTAATAACTTGCATTAAAGAAAGAGAAACGCATCGCAAACCTCCTGGTGTTGTTGCTCAGTGCTACCAAAAGACTCTGCACGTTATCAGTGTCTTCACCAAACACGAATATGTCGTCTGCGTATTTTAAGTAGATAGGCGGGCCTCCTGGAAGGAAATCAGGTCCTGAAAATTCGGACGACCAGAACGTTATTTGAGCAGTAGGCCATGTGGGGATTATGTGGTCGATGCAGCCACGACCAGGTCTGAAGCCAGCCTGATTTTCACGTGTTTGCAGTTCACGAGTCTTAGTTAGGCGACCGATAATTATTGGGGCTAATATTTTAGATGCCATGTTAGTCAAACTAATCCCTCTATGGTTGTCACAGGATGATTTTGACCCTCTCTTATATATAGGGACAATAAGTGGTTGCGACTAGTCAGATAGGATTACGTCCGGCTCCCAGAGTTTAGCTAAAATATTAGTCAATCTAATCGCTAAAATTGGACCACCATGCTTAAAGACCTTTGTGGTCACTCCATCTGGACCAGCTACTCTTCATCGTTTCAGATTAGCTATGGCTTTCTAAACTTTAGCTAGCGTCGGGAGACCTACTTCAATGTTCCATTCAGGTTGTCTGAGAATGGTGGGTAGTTGTACAGTGGTTGAAGGCCAGATGAACTGCTCCTTAAAATGTTTCACCCGTCGTTCTAAATGTCTGGACTGGGAGTAGATAAGAGTGTCGTCTTTTTCAAAAATAGCCTCACTTACACTTGACTTATTACTTTCGGTTTCTTTCATTAGTCTGAAAAGCTGTCTGGCGTTACTTACAGCCACTACCATTTCAATCTCTCTTGATTTCGTTTCCAACCACTGCTCATGGACGTTCTTCGGACTTTTGGTTAACCAAGATCTGATTTGTTTTCAGTGACTAATCGTTTCGTACTATTAACAACATGTTTAAAGTTCATAGAGAACACATTCAGGCTGGAGATAGAACAATATATTTAATGTAAGTAGAGAGAAGTTATACAGAATCACTCCTCTTGCAATGCTGAGCCATGTCATCCGATTGGTTTGAAGTTTCCGCTTTTCACAGTTGACTTCTTCGTGCCAACTGAGGTCGACTATGAACTAGTCAACCCGAGTTGCTACAAGATCTCCGTTGATCCACTTAAATACAGATCCCACTGCTTCGTTTGCTTCATCGATTTGCTGTCAGGTTGATTATTTTCAACTTATTTTTCACTTGCTGGAAGAACTCTTCGCTTTTTGGTAACGGCCTAGATCCAAAACCATCCTACAGGTGTTATTTTTGTCTCTGGAGTATACAGGTCGAGACAATAGGTTCTCCTACGATGTGGCGTTAGTGCCATTCACAGTAGTTGTTTTATTCCTTTAGAGCATCCCCAACCCACTCTGTTCTGGGCCTTCTTTTCTAATTCCATCCAATTCTTGTTCATTTTTCTCATGTCTATCTCCATTTTCCGGCGTAATGTGTTCTTTGGTCTTCCTCTCCTCCTTTAGCCTTGAGGATTCCATGTGAGAGCTTGTCTTGTGACGCAGTTGGGTGCTCTCCTCAATGTGTGTCCTATCCACTTCCAGCTCTTCTTTCTGATTTCGTCCTCCGCTGGAGTCTGGTTTGTTCTCTTCCACAGTAGGTTGTTGCTAATAGTGTCCGGCCAATGGATCAGAATTATTTTACGTAGACAACTGTTAATAGACACCTGTATGTTCTGGATGATGGCTTTCGTAGTTCTCCAGGTTTCCGCCCCATACAGTAGAACTCTCTTGACATGTGTATTGAAAATTCTGACCATGATGTTGGTTGACAGACAGTTGTTTTGAGTTCCATATGTTCTTCAGCTGCAAATATGCTGATCTTGCTTTGCCGATTCGCGCCTTCACATCTGCATCAGATCCATCGTGTTCATCAATGATGCTGCCCAGTTATGTAAAGGTTTTTACATCTTCCACATCTCCGTCAATTGTGATTGGATTGGTGTATGCTGTGTTGTATCGGAGAATCTTGCTTTTCCCTTTGTGTATGTTGAGACCTACTGCTGCTACACTGGTTGTCTTCTCCTGCATTTGCTGTTGCCTGTGTGATAGAATGGCCAGATAATCTGCGAAGTCTAGATCGTTCAGCTTCGTCCTAGCTGTTCATTCTATCCCGTACTTCTTTTCAGACGTTGACGTCTTCATGGCCCAGGAGATCACCAAGAAAAAGAGAAACGGTGGAAGTAAGCAACCTTGCCTGACACGGGCCTTTATTTCGAACGAGTCTGTGAACTGTCCTACACGCACGATTTTGCAGTTTAGTCCACCATAGGAATTCCGTATGAAGTTGACTATCACTTCAGGCGCACCATAGTGTCGAAGAAGCGTCCATAGTGTTGTCTTGTCAACGCTATAAAATGCTTTCTCGTAGTCAGTGATGTGTAGAGTGGTGTAAAATGGTGAATTCCACCTAATTGATTGTTCCACAGTGACATGGACGTTCGTTCCCACCGTATATTGTGAAGGTGTTATTTTCGCTTCCTATTTAACATATAGCACCAATGTTTTGGCTTTAAATAAGATTATCATTCCTTATTTTAGTTTTATACCCCCTCCAAAGTAGGCGACTACATCTTCGGGTTTGAATATATGTAACTGGTATCGGTCAAACTGATCTATCCATATTAGTTAGGATGCTTTAAGCTGGGGCAGTAACTTTATATCCCTCAGATGTAATGAAAGAAATATGCCGAAAATCCTCCCAGAGTGTTTATTTGAGAGTGCTGTTATTCCTTAGCTTCTTACATTATATATTTCAATGTGCCCCTAGGGCTCGTATAAACAAGCTGTTATATTTTCTAGTGTTTAATGACGGCTTTTATCATTTGACTTCGATTAAGATTGGCCTACTATCGAGTTTTCTTGATGAATGATGCTACTTTATTGTTAGTAGGTCGCGGCGTTGAACAGTTAGTAAATGCTGATCGTTGACTATCTTCTGAAATCAATCATGTCAATATTTATTGATGGATGTTGGAAATGCATTAACTAACTCAGAACGCTACTTCTGTGCAAGAAAATTTTCTGATTACATAATGCTCTTGCACCGTTTGATAACCAGTTAAAAAAGGCAAACAGTTTGTCCATGGTATATTTTAATGCAGGTGACTCAAAAAGGCTTTCCACGCCACATAACATGACGTAGTTCTACTTGGTCGAATCCACCTTAGCTTTTTGGATTGTCCAATGAGTTTGGGTCTGATATTGATATTTCGTTGCTATACACACTTTTAACAAAGTTTTGGCTACTCGTCGCTCGTGATAGAGTTGCTCTACATTTAACCGATAAAACTACGTTTCTAGTCAGCCATGAACACAATGGTTTGTTATAATTACCCCATGAATTATGATCTACTTCGTTATTAGTATTGCTGTAATAATAGACCTAATCCTAATATTATAGATTTGTCATGTTATGACTGTTTAATCCACAGGTCTTAAGTGGAAGTCACATCATTGTGTACCTGTTGAATTCGCGGGTAGTGCCTGGACTACTGCGAGGAATTGTGCACGTGTATCGTTCACGCCATGCTCGTAGAAGTTGGCTTCAGCGTAGCAGACGCAGGCTTCGATGTTGTCTGGCCAGAAGGGCATCAGTTGGAACGAAGGTAGGGACATTGTCCTTACCTTAAGTACATTGGGTGTCTGTTCAGTCATGATGAAATACCAAGTACGAGAATGAACGAGTCAAAACAATCCAGAAACACGAAAAAAACCACAATACATAAAAATTAAAACAAAGCAATGATTTATGAAATTCCAAAAAGGAACAGACAGTTTGCAATTTGGCGTGCCAGATCACGTTGGGCTCACCAATGAAGATGCCACAGGCATTTATAGTTTGACAACGCTTTAACCAGTAACACCTTCTAATATGAATCGTACCCACCAAGTGAAATCAAAAGACAGAAGCGAATGGGTTCGAAGATATATTTGACAGGCTATCAATATATCGAGGATTGTATGGGATGTTGAGCACAGCGACCCCACTCGTGATCTGGTGCGGATGCATGACCGAGCGCCTTCAGCTAGGTGAGTCCATTAAAACTAATGCGGTCAGCGTCCAATGTCGAGAACTTACAGAGCTATTTATTTTGGGGATTTATTTACCACCACATCAGGTTTTCCTTTGACTACGATCATTTATGTATGAAACACTCGACAAGTTTATTTAAAGTCGGGCGTTCATACATACATCTGATGCTTTTTATTGTACCAAAAGGTAAATAATCGACCATCTGCAAATGGCATCTTTTTTTCTTTAACATTATATTGTCATTTTCCGACTGAGTAATAAAGAACAATGAGATCTTCTAAAAAAAGGTTCAATACTTTGAGGAAAAATATCTTCGGTAATGGTAATTAACATCACACACTGATCGTGACACATAAGCCAACTCTTAGTCATTTGTTTCAATCTTTGTGGATGCTAAAGAGCGCGTGAAAAAAGGGTAAGGACTTCAGCTGCCGGAATTGGTCCTATTTTACTGACGAGATATAAGCAATGAACCCTTAGTTTTTCATTTATAAGGGGTTGTTACAAATTTTATATATACACTACTTCTCGAGTAGTTCAAATACCGGTTTTTTCCACAGGACGTAATACTGATGTCAGGTTTCATTATATTCCAAGCGGGTTCCGATGTTCCTTAGACGATAAAATTTAGGAAATTCTCATATTAGTACGCACTGGTCAATGTAACTTTTTTGTACGCGAGATCTCCACTGCTTCATATATCTTCTGCTCACATATCCAATCTCCCAAATTTGTGGAAATAGCACAAAAAAACTCCGAGATTTCACCTGGTCTGGAAAAATTTCACCAAAAATAACTTGGGATCTTTTGGTTTTCCCAAATGTCTCCCTTCAGTTTCTCCAAACTGAGTAAAAGTACGGATTTTCATACGTATTTTGGGAAAACCCCGAATTCCTAAAATTCAGGACACTGATTATCTGTGAGGTGTGTAAAGCTTAGTATTACTTGGCACAATTATGCGCTATACCAAGTTTTCATATTTCAGTCAAAATGACAAGTGTGTCGACGTTAGTATGCAACTAAACGTAGAGTGCAACCTACCGTTTCTAGGAGGAATTTTTTGTCGGTTTTTGGGAAATTCGACGTAACCTAATTTTATTAGGAAGATTTAGGGTTTTCCCCAATATTTCCTGAAAACCTACTCAGACCTTGTGAGGTCTCTTACCATTCCTTCTTGTGCTTGCGGCTGTTATCACTATTGTTCTCTTCTTCTGTTGGTTAGTTCGCACTGATTTTGCAGGATGAAAACTAGCAAAATGGTCTTCATACGCACTAGAATCAATGTTGTTTGTAGGGTAATAACAGCCACCTTCTGAATGGGTTTTGTAGTGTCTTGAATTGCATCCACTCACTTATCGCCTTCAAAGGTAAAGAACAGCCATCGAATAGATAGTTAACACTGAAAGTCACTTAAGAGTGCAAACGTCCGGGCTCGGGTTAAAAAGCTCCATGGGTATTGTTATTAAATTATAGTGGCACCGTTTGAAGTCAGCCATATCGTCGAAGATTTACACTTCTTTATAAGTTTCGAGATTAGTATTATTCCATAACTTTCTCATCGACCTCTATAGCCCTTGATGTCGGGGTTGGCTTACTGGGAAACTCGATTGGTAACGTGGGATACGCAAGTGACATAGTTATGTAGTGTGGCAACCTAAATCAGTGCACGCATGTACCAGGTTCCGCGTTGTATATATATATATATATATATATATATATATATATATATATATATATATATATATTCAAAACACCTGCCGTATAATCCTATCCAAATAGGTAGATATTAATTAACTGTCACGACTGATGTAATTTGGAATATCTCACAGCTGCATCTAGATGTTGATTCCTGCTAAAGACTATTTTACGAAGTTATCATTGGTATTGTCCATAATACCTAAATCAATTTCTACTTCCATGGAACTCTAATCAGAACGGCTACACTTCCATATGAGGTAGGCAAATAGTCGATAACTCTACAATATATGACTGGAGTTCACACCATAGTACCGCTGAAGCTACCATTCCTGCTTACTTTTGGAGGCAGTTTTATCTAAATACAATATTATTCAATATATATATATCAGTCAAAACGAGTCTTACTTGCATTTACTACCGTTAATGGGTTATAACCGCCAAATACTTTGCACAGGATATGCAACAGAGCTTAAGATGAATTACAAAATCCATCTATATCTGCTGATACATTACTTCAATTACAAGAAGTACAGTGGTCTTGAGTGCTGTTAGAAGTATGAGGGCGGTTATCACTTCCCGGTTGCCCACACCGTGGAAGGGTCGTTCTGGAGGTACCTGAAAAGGAAATCGGATTAGAAGTGGTCTTAGTGACCTGGAAGCGTGACCGCAGTGCCCAAGGGACAACTGCTTGAGGTCGGTCACACACGACCTTGTTATGGGTAATTTTTGTGTTAGCTCCGTACTTATTGAGACCTTACCGCCGGAGACGGATATCCGTGGGATAAGGCGAGGTGTGTATTTTTAGGGTCGACCTTTTCTAACCCCACCCCTCCTTGTGGGAAGGCAGCATCGCTGTCATGCTGGTTGTCTGAAGGAAACACCTTACTGCTGTCACACCTCTGTACAGCCAGCAGTACGACTTCGCCTTCGGACCTTGGGTTTGTTGCTTTTAGTCTTACCGCTCTTCAACCGACCTGTCTGACATGGTAGGACCTTGAGGAACGGTTGTTCCAGCCAGTATAACTCGGTTGCTTCATCACGATAGGCAAGCCCGACCACCACGTCAAGGTAGCAACAACGGTCGGCGTCCGACGATGGTGGTCTTTCTTGACTTAAAAGCAGCATTTGACTCTGTAGACCGCGAGACTGTGGCAGTGTCTGTCATTGAAAGGCGTACCTCAGAAGTACATAAACCTTGTGAAGGCTCTTTACTCGAACACTACTAGTCGAGTCAGGGCTTATGGCGAACTGTCATCTACTTTTGCAACCTCAAGTGGTGTCCGTCAAGGCTGCCCACTTTCTCCATTTTTGTTTAACTTCATCATAGACCTATTGATGGAAATAACACTCTCGTCGACTGAATTCTCGGGTATTGATCTCCTTCCAGGAGGTCCACTTATCGACTTAGAATATGCAGATGACATAGTCCTGTTTGGTGAAGACGCTGACAAAATGCAGAGTCTTCTGGTAGCACTAAGCAACAATGCCAGAATGTTTGGGATGCGCTTCTCTCCCTCTAAATGCAAGTTGTTGCTTCAGGACTGGTCTGCGTCAACACCTGAACTAAGGATAGGGAGTGAAGTAGTCGAACTCGTTGACAACTTCACTTATCTTGGAAGTCTGATCAGCCCTAATGGGTTGGTGTCTGACGAAATCTCAGCACGGATTCGTAAAGCTCGTTTGGCTTTTGCCAACTTACGTCACCTTTGGCGAAGGCGAGATATCCGTCTATCAATAAAAGGACGAGTATACTGCGCGGCTGTTCGTTCTGTTTTAATTTACGGCAGCGAAACATGGCCCTTAAGAGTAGAAGACACCCGTAAGCTTCTAGTATTTGACCACAGATGCCTTAGAAATATTGCTGGCATCTGCTGGGATCACCGGGTAAGTAATAGTGAGGTTAGACGCAGGGTATTAGGGAATGATGGTAAATCAGTTGATGAGGTTATGAATCTTCATCGACTGAGATGGTTGGGCCACGTATTACGTATGCCTGAACACCGATTACCGCGACGTGCAATGCTAACCGGTGTAGGGAATGGTTGGAAGAAAGTTAGGGGCGGCCAAACCAAAACGTGGCATCAGTGCCTGAAGTCACTAACTTCTAGTCTGAGCCATGTTGGTAGATGCAGACTACTTGGTTGGGGTCCGCGTGACTTTCGTAACCAATGGTTGGAGACCCTTGGTGACATGGCTCAGAATCGATCACAATGGCGTCGGTGTATACACTCTCTGTCTTCTCTTAAACTAAGAGATTAAGATCACTTCACATCTTTCTTTCTACGAACTAATTCTTTCTTCCTATACTATATCCTTATTGCAATCTTTCTCCTATATATTACCACCTTTGACCTAACCACTGCTATGAATCCGGTGTTCATCTTGCTGTGCTAATGAGGTATGGCAACCTGGGCCGATGCATACATGTGCCTGGTCCTACGTTGTAGCTGACTTCAATTACAAATAAAATGCTAGATTTTAAAGATAAAACATGTACTCTTTGATTTTTCCTCTAGGAACGTCATGGTGTGTTACTATGACTCTCAGCTCGATCCATCACATTTCCGTTTGATTCATGCATCTGTTCCTGAAGTTTTAAAGTGGTTTAGCGATTTGTCCGCTTCTAAGCGTGTAGAATTTGTTTGCGGCTTACTTCAGTTATCTACGCCACCAGAGCTAAGGTTCTACGGCAGCTGCTTGGAAGAGATTGCCCGTCAAGATTACGAAAGTCTCCATGATTGTGAAATACAGGCAAATGCACCCATGGAAAATTATGGTGTTTTAACTTTGTATAATACTGTGCCATTGAATCCTGGTATTTCCACTTTAGTAACTCCGATTTCTATCCCGATTCCTCCCTCATTTATAATATTAAATAACAACCCAACATTGCGATCTAAACTTATTATCAGTCTTTCACTACTTAATTCTACAAATATACCAGCAGCTACAAGTTATTTTGAAATGTTAATGGCTGATGAGAGTGACACACATTCGCCGAATGATCTACAAATATCGACTACCATGTTTAAAACATCTTCCCTTGTAAAATGTAAATCATCTAAGAGTGGGTCTGTTTCATCAGACGACAGTGATGACGAATTGTCTTCAGTAGATATTTTAAGGACTATTAACCCGCAAGTCTTGGATGAAATCATGCTCATTTACACACTTGCTGCATTTCATCCTGCTTTCTCTTTTGACCAGCGACAACGTTTGTATAAGCGTTTATCCATCGTAAAAGCCTTATCTGATCATTCAGTAAAAATTGCTCAACTTGCCAATCAGTATAAAGATCCAAATAAACATGTCCTTAGTGGGTGGGAAAAGCCTCCTCGAAAATCACAGTCTCCATCTAACTATAAACACCATTCCTGTCTAAATTTTCCTGCCAGATCTAATGTTCCGCTGTGTCCTGCACCAAGACAATGTCGTCTTCACGGTGACCAAAGCTCCATCAATCAAGTAAGTCACACAGTACCACTGAATTTTGTATATATCTGCATAGCTAAATCACATTCTGCTACCAACTAATTACGTCCCCATTTTCAATCCATAAGTTTGGTTCATTTGTGAATTATTTTCTCTCTATTCTATAAAATTCACGAAGCAAGAGAACATTGAACTTTAGTGTGGATTCCAGTCAACTAATGTAGTCACGATATAGCGGTAGTTTGGTAGGCAAAACACTTGACTTTCATTCAATGGTTGACTGATTTAAACCCTCTCCCACTTCAGTTTAACCAGTTAGGTCGTATCCTTATCTATCATACAAACTATGATCTCAAGCCGAGCGCATAAATCTGTTGTTTAAAGAATTCAGTAGTGATAACCCCTATGATCTCCTATCTTAGTAATATGTCTTGTTAAATTTTGATTTTGTCATCATAATCAGATGACGGATAACGTTGATTTACAATCTGTTCACAGTCTGGTTTAAAAAAATATTCCCAGTTATCTAGATGCTAAGGAAATTACCATAGTCGCTTCTTAGTATTAAACTCGGTCGAACTACATACTCGCACTTTTCTGTAATCCAAACGAATTAATCATATATAACAATAAATTCATTCATAACCACATAAGTAAAAGTCGTTATAATATTTACCAGTAAAGTACAATTTCATGTATCCATATCATTTGCTAAAGATGAGGTAAATTAGGATAATATCAACACAAAGACAAATCTAACACAGTTATTGTGAATTAAACCAGGGTTGTACAATGTCATGTAATTATGATTTATAATTAAAAAGAATAGACTGGTCATTTCCGTCTTCATATCTTGGTATGATCAAAGGAACAAATAAAACTGGTCAAGTGCACTTTACATGATCTTGTAAAGGTGAAAATAAGATGTTCGATTGAAGTGGGAATTTGGGCCTAAACAAGTTACTATGTCTTCTTCGACCTAGTATTCTTGGACGATTCGATTCACTTGATTAGTTTCCAAATTAAAATACGATTTGACCAGAACGTCTGTGTATTCCAGAGTAAATAGCAAGTGAAGTTAGGATAGTAATGAAATGTCACTGTGTACGTGAAACTTACACAGGAGACGTCTGGTGTTCTCTGCCCATCCCTTAGCTCTGGTTGATTGAAAATTGGTCAGTGAGAATACTCCAACATGGTCTTACCTGAAACGTCCTTTTATCGTATCTCCTTACACAAGTAAAAGGGAAATAGATAGAAAATGTTAACTTTTACAATCACCCTTGAGTTTGATGTGAAGCAGTAATACGTTCAGGACTTCTATGACAATGGTATATCAACTACTACATCATTTTAGGTGCAAACGTACTTGAGTACATAAGGCACGGCTGTTTGCCGCATTACTCGGAGTGAACATATGACATGCGATTGTAACAGCTTCTAAAACTTACCGGGACATTCAAAGCTAACTATTTTTTGATGTCAAGTGATCAGGGATAATAGGGAAAAGCCCTCAAAGTCTTTCATGCTAATTTATTTATTTATTTATTTGAACACATGAATATTGGTACAAGAGAGCGCCAATATATATGCGCCACACAAAACAATGAGAATTCGAAGAGAAATAGAAAAAAAACTAAGGAGCGCAAAAGAAAAAGAGAACAATAACGAAGAGATTGGTGTAAGGTAGTGTGGTAGTAACGAGGGAACGAAAGGTACAATCAGAAGAAATCTTTCAGGTAAGGGAGACACAACCACTTTTTATGAAGAAAGTAAAAGAAGGTTACAGCAGGATCGCCACTGGCTTCTATTCTGAGCCATATCTGATAACGTCTCTAGCCACTGTGTAGCACCATCTCTCGGACCCCAACCAGGGAGTCGTGAAGGACCAACACAAGCCAGTCCTTTGCAGCTTTCTTTCATGCCACGACACCATGTCATGCACTGACCACCTCTCCGCTTCTTCCAACCAGTCCCAGAGTCGGCAAATAATGCACGACGTGGAATTCTCTGGGACGACATTCGGAGAACATGTCCAAGCCACCGAAGTCGGTGTTTCAAGATGGTGACACCAATTGATTATCATCTCTGTGCCCGAACACACGATGCCGAACCTCTGCATTACTGACATGGTGTTGCCACTGAATGTCAGCAATCCTTCGGAGACAGCGATGATCGAACACAGAGAGTCGTCTAACGTCCTCAACTCGGAGAGGCCAGGTTTCACAAGCATAGAGCAAAACTGCTCTCACCGACGCGTTGTAGATCCGACCTTTTACAGCCAGACTAACATCACGAAGGCGCCAAAGGTGGCCCAGATTGGCATAAGCCGCTCTGGCTTTCACTATTCGTGCATTGATCTCATCACTCACACCCCCACCAGCACTTATGCAGCTACCCAGATACACGAACTTCTCGACTACGTCTATCTGCTCACCATCCAGGGTGAGTACAGGATTGGAATCCTGCCAGTCTTGTAGAAGTACTTTGCACTTCGAAGGTGCAAAGCACATACCATACCTACGGACACTGATTGCCAACTGATTAAGTGCGGATTGCATGCCTTGGGCATTATCGCACAGTAAGACAATATCGTCCGCATACTCAAGGTCGAGAAGTCTTTCTCCAGGCAACAGATCCACACCACCATTACTTACATTCATCAGAGCTGTTTCCAGAATGTCATCGATGGCAAAGTTGAAGAGGAATGGTGAGATTGGGCAACCCTGCCTAACCCCACTGCTCGAATGGAACAATGGAGAGAGGTGGTTGTATGCCCTCACTCTGCCTGAGGTGTTTTTATATAGGGCTTTTAGGATGTTAATAAACTTCTCAGGCACACCCTTCTTCAATAGACAATCCCAGAGAACAGTCCTGTCCAACGAATCGAAGGCAGCCCTGATGTCAAGAAACACTACGATTGTTGGCCTTTGATAAGTATGGCGGTGTTCTAACATTTGGCGGAGGGTGAAGATATGATCAATACATCCTCGACCAGAACGAAACCCAGCCTGCTCCTCGCGAGTCAATCTTTCTCGGGTTTTGAACAACCTACGAAGAATGACGGAAGCCAATAGCTTGGACGCAATCGGAAGTAGACTTATCCCCCGATAGTTGTTACAGGAACGACGTGAACCCTTTTTAAAGATAGGGACAACTATCGACTCATTCCATGACGTTGGTACACTCTCTAGTTCCCAAACCTTTGTAAACAACGTCGTCAATTCCTTAGTCAAAAAGTCACCACCATCTTTAAAAAGAGCCGGAGGTAAGTCATCTGGGCCAGGTGATTTGTAACGCTTCAAGAGTTGGAGTTCCTTGCGGACTTCCTCCTCGTTTGGTGGATCAGTCGTCACCGGCCATGGAGGGCAGGACAGTCTGACCGATGTTGCCGGAGCAGCAGGCCAGTTGAACTGCCCTTCGAAAAATTCTGCCCATCGTCCAAGACGTCGATGGATGTTAGTGATTGGCATCCCATCATCCTCGCAGATTGTTTCACTCACACCAGACTTCTTGCTGCCAGTGGCTCGGATGAGCTGGAAGAGCTTCCGGTAGTTACCAGATGCAGCTGCTGCTTCCAGCTCATTAGCACGCTCGACCACCAGGCTTCTCGGTCCTTACGCAAGCTTTGCCCAATTTCCTTACGTAACATCCTTCGTTTATGGTCAAACTCACGGTCACCCGGAGTAGACCGACGGGCTTCAATGAGTTGTAAGGAACCAGAAGAAACCCAGTGCTTAAAAGCGGGACGTTTCGCAAACCCACAACTGACTGTTCCCGCCATTTTCATGGCGTCATGCAATTGCAACCAATGCTCATCTATACTTTTCGGTGGAGTGGTAGCTAGCCTAGAGGCTAGCTCGGTTCGATACTTACTTGCAACAGAAGTTGCAACCAGCTTGCTAACATCAATCCGTTGATGGCGGTCACTTCGTTGTCCACTGAAAAGTAAGGCAAGATTGGCGCAGACCAAGGCATGGTCAGAGTCCAGATAGGTACTCCAAAAGGAGCGGCAGTCTTGTACACAACCACGCCAGCGGTAGCTGATCGCGATGTGATCAATCTGAGTCCAGGCTTGAGATGCAGAGGGAGGACGCCAGGTGGCACATCGGCGATGACTGTGCCGAAAGTTAGTGCTAGCCAGAAACAGGTTGTGGTCTGTGCAAAGTTGCAGTAGACGGTTCCCGTTATCTGTCCTGTGACCAACACCCATCAGAGTGCTGTCTACTGTCTTGAAAAGAAAATTGATATTTTACGTAGGGTTTAAATCCCTATCCCCTTAATTGGTCAAATACGTTACCAATGGGCTACGTAGACCATGATTACTAGCCTTCTGTAGGACCGAGACGTCAATTGTCTGACCACTGAGTGGCAGTTATTTTCATCTTACTCTTGGTACTGATTAAATCCCGTCGGTCAAGTTGCCACATCTTACTTAGATATGATATCGTATAAATACTAAGACCAAAATTCCATTTGTTGGTTGTATTAAAACCAAGTTCAATAGCTTTGCAGATTATTTTATTAAAAAACTTCTTGTCTATTTTAGGACTCCAATAATAATCTTTGTACAAAGTATTCACATTGTGGTTATTTGCTGTGTCATTGCTCACAATGCCGTAAGTAAACAGACATTTTTTCTGACTGGGAAATTGAGCATTTTCGTTTTGATTCCGTTTACTTTTTTCTCAGTGATCCAAGTGGATTTGTTTTGAATCCCTGTCATGTTGATTACATTCGATAAGTTAGGCAATAATCATTTATTTAAAGATAAATCTGATACACAGGTAGGCAAGCAATACAGAGTAATATTGACTTATGACATTAAACACACATGTCGCGAACTACAGGTAGATAAAGGCATGAATGGCAGATATGTTTGCAACTACTCTTTTCCCAAAGGTTTATTGTTGAACTATAATTGAACGGTGTATAATCGTTGAATTTCAAAAAATAAGCCTATGGGTTTTTGGAACATATTTGACTCCTACTATAATCACTTGGTCTTGCATAATCTCATGTATATTATTTTAGGCCACTTCAACTGTATGTTAAATTTGGATAACGATGCGATGTATTGCCAATCAGCTGATAAACTCGGCAATTAATAGGACGGAAGAAGTAAGAGATCAATTCGTGTTGGGATTCTTGAATGAGTTCATATGGAGTATTTAAATGGATAAACAGTTAAATACGCATCTCAGCGAAGGGATCTCTTTTCAACGAATTTATTATCAAGATGTACAATCGTATATATATGAAAATTTTTGTTTTTATAAAAGTACTAATTCCGTGGGGAAATGTGAACACAGTTAATAAAAAGGTTATAATACTAGATTACGTAATATGAATAATAACAATAACAATAGATTTGATGAATATAATAAGATGATTAAAATGTTTTTGTCATAATAATTTTCATGTATATACGATTGTACAGCTTGATAATAAAATCGTTGAAAAGAGATCCCTTCGCTGAAATTCGTGTTTTAATTTTAATGTTTAAATACGCATCTATACATATACAAATATAGTACATGAGTAAAAGTTAATAATTAGAAATCAAAACATCTTATAGGATTATGAATGACATTCTTAATATTAAAATAGGACTTGACCCTGATCAGTTACGATTGTATATTAACCCACAAATCATGACTTGGTACCCTCATCTGTACACGTGACTACTTTTCGTCTGTATTTCGCTGACCACTAAATTACTAGCATGAACTCATAACTTCTGCGACTAACAGTGTGGTAGTAAATAGTCCAGTTACATCGTTCTCTTTCATTTATTAATAATTGCAACTAGTTATTCAAAAATATCGTTTGTGTGGATGACTCGGAGGAGCGAAAACATTTTATTTATTCGACATTTGTTTGTGGACTGAGACACTGCTCTTGTCCCCAGATCAAACTAGGTGGTCGCTCCCTGAACCTTTGTCCTAGAGGTCTAATTCACAAGGCAGTAAAGTGATGTCAGGAGATGCTATGGCATGTAAACTGGTAACCAAAAAAGGGTTCATGCGCCATTCATCCCCTCAGGATTCTGAAGCCCATGTACATAAGTGGTTTGTAATCAAGGTTTCATAACTCCTCTAGATGAAATGTCCGTATCCACCAACTCAGTTTAAGCCCAAGACGTTCACTTTTCATCTTCTCACATTCATTAACAACCCGCACTTGTATAAAGGCAGTACGATTCGTTTGGCTGTTTATAAACCCGTAGCCGTATGAAAGCACTTCAAGAGAAAATGGGAATTCTCTTCACCCTCGGTCGCACCAAGGAAATACAGTTTTGCTTTCCTCCCAATCGCAACTACGGCTTGTAGGTTAGCAATGATACTCAAGTTTTATCATCCATCTTCATATGGTAATAGTATTAGGTGTAGAATTCGAACAACCTTGGAGATGTTTACTGGAAATTACTTTCACATAAAGTCAATCTTTGCACATAAATAGTGTTGATTGCAAACACATTGTATGATGATAATAATAGCATGTAGTGTTTTCCGTTCACGGATGATTTAATATTTTTGTGCTTATCTCTGCTGTTGTTATGCAGGTCATTATCCATACATTCTTTTTTATCGATCCACCAATTTCTTATATTCCAATCAATTATAGTTAAGCTGATTTGTTGTTTATATGGAAGCAAAACAATCTAGCGATATATGTATCTACGCTTTACTTAAATCAACTTTTTTATTATTGTAAACGAGTCCTTAATATCAATGTAGTTGACGTGATTGGTTACTCTCTGCCAGTACAACCTGGTTTTTAATACAGATACTTGTATTTTCTGATTGAATACAGAAATGATAATAATATCTTGTCGAAACTAGTGTTGAAATATGGAACGCGTTTTATCGCAGTTAAAGCTAGTGAAACAATAGGAATCGGTTGGTGTTGTTCAGTAAGTTAAGGGTGAAGATAATATGCACTACTGTTAATGATTTATAAATAGAGGGAATATGTGCTTAATTTGTAGAAGAGCTAAAATAATGGAAACTTAATATCAAAACAATGACTGCGATTCGCACTACATTATAAACGACACCTAGTATCAATCCACTACTACTCAGTCTTCATCAGCTGTCTAAAGAGTTTTTCTCTATACGGTGTTTGTTCTTGCATGGTCGGGTTTACAAAATGAAAACCGTGATGCTGTCTGTCAAGAGCATTTAATCGAGATCATTCTGATGGTGGTAAAATATACTTCTAACTCCATAAGTGAGAATCAAATCGATGACTACCATTCCCGTTCCAGTGTTTGATAAAATATCAAGGTTTTTTAGGCTATGAAATTTTTTCACTTTACTAGACTTGCTTATCGTCGAATTAAATCTTATCATGAGAGAAGTAAGTTTTCCAACTGATTACTCATTGTTTGAAATGCTTTTGAATTCCGTTCATACGAAGAACAAACACTTGAACAACGTATGTTTATCGAATGAGTTTTCATTATAAATGTTTTTGCTGATATTTCTTATCCAGTAAGTGATACTGTTCGAATTGCCAGGACCAGGTAGTTTATGAGTGAGTTTCCACTTCTCCTTATCTGACAAAAACAAAACAGCTTTGCAAACGAGCTAATACATTTTCATTTTTGGATTGCGGTGATGATATCACTTCATTTGTTACAATATATCAGATTAAGCCCATAGCGTAGCCTGTGGACGTTCATTGCCTGGTTATGTTGCACTCCATATCAAACATATATATATATATATATATATATATATATATATATATATATATCATCTGTTCGTCTAATTTTGCCGAAGTTTAATACTAGCAATCTTATTATTTTGATCAACATTTATCTGTGATATATCATCCACTGTTTCAGAGAATACTTATCGTTAAATTTTACAAATATTTCCAGATCATCGAGGTTCTGTAACACATTCATTACGTCGGCATAGTTTACCGTCAGATTGTTTGCGTTTTTGTGGATATGACAGTGACGAAAACAATAAGGTACGTTTATTCATCATAACTACCGGTTACATATATTACTTTTAAATCATACGTTCTTTTAAACATACGTACACTCTCAAAATCTACTTTCTGGCTAGCTATCTTTTTTTCTGTTTTCATATCGAACAATTGATTGTAAAAAGAGCAATGAGTATAAGCGACCCTATTTTAAAACGTGCATCTTCAGCAGCTCCCATCCACGACCCAGCAACTGGAGTTGAACCTAGGACCTTTGGTTTTGCACATGGACGCTTAATCCAATTGATGTTGAGTAACAGTAATATCAATAATACCTGCTTCTTATCCAGTTCCTTTTAAACAATTAATATTATAATTAGTTAACCCATTAGACTAATGCGTAATATACATGAACACTAGTTATGGAGTCACACGTACATACTGAGCCTTGCTTCATACTCTAGTTTCTTAATAGAAGAAGTTAATTCATCAATAACAGTCGGTTGCTGTGATAAAAGTCATTTAAAATGCAATTGAAATTTTATCACCTGCAGTTGGAGACCTTGGGTAACATGACTCACAAGCTGTCACAATGGTGTAAATGCACCTCCTTTTGTCCTTCCACAGACTCACAGTCCTATAATTTTCATGTACTTTTTTAAGATTTTGATATCTAACTGTTTCTAATCCTACTAAAATGTTAGTACTTTTTCCACTCTGAGATTTGCATACTTAAGATTGTTGCCCTACCTAGAGTACAGGCCGCCCTCCACCGGAGATCTCCAATCAAATCTGTCCTAAACTACTCTCCTTTCCAGTTGTTGCTAAGTTTCTTTTTATGGTCTTAATGTCTGCTTCCGATTCCTAGCACTGTTTGTTCCGTTTTACCTGAAAGCCTCAACTTGAGACTTGGTTTGCGATGCAGTTTAGTGACTTCCACAAACGTTGTCCTATCCACATTCAGCATCTTTTCTATAGTTTCCTCAACTAGAGGCTGATCTGTTCTCTGCTACAGTTTGCTATTCCATCAAAATCATCCACCTGAGCTACAAATCTTCTCCACCAGGCTAAATCATCTCCAAAGTCCCAGTTGTCTAAGAGTCTACCGTGTCTAGCGCTGCTTCTGAGATGTGAAGGTCTTCATCACTCAGCCAACAGCTAGCAAAAAGAGAAAGGAGAATGGGAATAATTTTCTGACACCAGTTCTCACGTGGAAGGCATCTGTAAGCTCCCTTTCATGCACAAATTTGCAGTTCAGTTCCTTGTAGAAGTTGCGTATGATGTTGAGGATCTTTTCAGGTACTTCGTATTATCGGTAAAGATTCCACAATGTGTTTTTATCCACCCTCTCGAATGCTTTTGCCTAATCTAGAGAGTTGATGTATAATGATGACTTTCATTGTTACATGACCGATCCTTACGAAAACCAGCTTGTTCGTCTCAAATTCGTTTGTCTACTGAATCTTCCATTCGATCCAGCAACACCTTTAAGAACTTGGTCTGACACTGATAGTAGTGTGATGTCCTTGAGCTCCTTCGGTATTTGATGAAGTATCGCTATTTTCAGTTTCGTTGTTACTTGCCGTTTCTTCTGAATCCTGTCGACTCTATGCCTGGCTTCAGTGTTTCAGCTGGTATGCTGTTTCATACTGTCACCTTGTCGTCCTTGATTTGTCTGATGGCCTTGATGGTCCCTGTTTTCTTGATGGAATAAGATTTACAGGGAGTTCTGCGTGATTCTTGGATTTCCGGTTGGTCCAGTGATAATGGTCGTTTCAAGAGCTCTTCAAAGTCCTTTATCCACCTGTTTCATTGCTCTTAAACGTCCGTGACAAGTTTTCTTATTATTCATAATTGGTCCCTCTAATCTACTATATATTCTTGCAAGCCTGTTTGCTCTCGCACATTTTCTTCTTCTGCAGCTTTTTCTGCTACAGCTCTCAGGTCTTCTACATATTTTCGCTTGTCAACTCCAATATTCTTCCTCACTCGTTTATTTACTTTTGTATATTAACCTTATGTCTTAGCTTTCTCCGGCTTTCTCTTCGTCTGTTTTTGATCACAGTTTTTTTGTGTTTCCTATCTCAAGTCTTCTTCAAACCGTCTACGAAATACATTATTTATTCTATTACTTCTTGACATGCTCAAGTTATCGATTCTTTAATTCGTTTCCATTCTTGCTCTCCATGGTGGTTTCTTCTTTTAGCAGATCTTGTAAGACTTAGAACTTGTTGCAAAGAGTTATCATGAACTCGCTGTGATTTTTAACACTTCCAGGGAAGGATTTATTAAATTTTTATACTACTACTTCTATTATCTAATGCTTCTTTAGATTCATTTTTAGCTTAGTCATCACCAGGTGGTAATCTGAAGCTATATCAGCTATTCTCTTTGTTCTTCCATTGACCTGAATTTTTTTGATACATATGTGTACTTCCTCGTAGTTATTGTCTCCACCTAATGCGTTTATATCCGGTGTTGTCCATCTCGACCTTGGCGTTAGGTCTCGTCGGGATAATCACGCCCTATCCTGAGCGTTTCTGTAGTATGGACTGCAGTCTTATTGTCTGTTCTGCTATCATTAATGGGTGCGTAGCTTTGGTTGACATTCAGTGTGATCTTTTCCTTTGTTTTGAAGGATTCCTTGATCATTCTGGAGTCATGAGATACCCATCGTATGAGTGCTTTCCGTTCCTCTTTGAACATTCTCAGTCTAACGTCTTGTGTATGTGTGATATATTTACTTCTCTATGACTATCATAGAATAAAAACTCTCCTGAACTTTGTTTTTTTGTCTAGATTGTGTGCATTGAGTTTCACTTATTCCAAACGGATCCAGGCTTTATCTTCTTATTTTGTGGCTATTCGGATGGCCCTCCCAGTCTCCCAAATCATCCAGACATTTTATGTACCTGTTTTAATTGTCGCTCTGGTTTTCAGAAGGGCCATTTGTCTCAAGGCTCCTAAAAAATCTCGGCTTTCACCATGTGAAGTTATAAATTTCCTAAATAAATACTCTTTGACTTCCAAGGGAGGGTTTAAATAGTTGAAATTATATTTTTGGTTAGTGATTTTTCCCTACCCGGACTTGAAAGTGACAGTAATCCTAGAGGGGCTCTGAATGCGGTTACTGTGAGATTTAGGTTGGTACGTTTCATTTTTCTGTGCTAATGTGGTGTAGCAGCTTGAAATAATGTTAGATTAGTGTAACTGTCTTATTCATCTCAATTGAACCAAGCTTAACAATTGGATTGATGTACACATGTCTCAGGTTACACGATGCATATAGTCAGATAACGTGTTCCATCATATCATAATACACAGTGGATTCTTATTCAATTTGTTTCCACCTGTCGTAATTTAATAGAAATAATCATACTTTTTGAATATTAATATTAAACCATTATTTATCAATGTAATTTGTTGTACAAATAAGGTATTAAGATTTAAGAGATGACCATTTTTATTAATTTAATCTGATAAAACCAGTGGAGTCTAATCCGTGTCTTGTATGAGACAAAAAACTTGTTAAATTTTATCAAAGATGTTTGTAGTAAACATTTGAACACAAAGCTACTCCCCTTTCAATTTCCCGCATCAACATAAACTCTTAATGTTGTACATTCACTTTCTTTCTCTTGTTTTTCTCCACATTGAAATGTTTCATTCTATCAGAATAATATTAAAACTAATACTTGTTGATATATAAACATGAAAATTGTTAGGGTTACTTGAAAGGGTATAGTATATATAGCACATGACATTAGACATAAAACATCACATGTAACTAACCTCTTTTATTAGTTGCTCGTAGTCAATTGTCTTTTTAAATATTTAGTACTTTTAAGTTCATGTAAAAAAAGCTGTGTATACAGTGATGTTGACTCATTTCATTAACTTTTCGGTGAAAAGTCAATCTTCTCTTCGATTACATTCAGTTGTGTCATCGTTTAAATGTCGTTGTCTGTTAATTCATTCTAAGTATTTAATTACACCAAACTTTTTCTCGTCTTACTGGTAGTAGGAGATCCATAGAAGAATATGTAATAGTGGTTCTGACAGTCTTACATACTTGGTTAGTGAAATCAAATAATTGTGTGACCAGTAGTGGGGTTCATTAGTGTCAGTCATGAGACAAATATTGATAATGGCTATGCATGGTAGTTGCACAGTATTGCTAAATATTGAAGATAGGAATATAAATTATTAGATTCTGACTCTTGCATGCTCATTCCGAGGTCTGAAGGTCCTTGGTTCTATTACTTGTAGGGTTGTGGAATCCTTAATTAGTATAAAATACCAGTGCGATGATTCTTTATTTTTGATGATTGTCTGGCTAAAATACAGTGTTGTAAATAACATATATGAATTTGAATAAAAACCACTGTTCCTGGGAATTAACGCGTTCTCCGAAAGCTTTTTAATTATGATCATAAGGCTCAATGAACTCAACATCACCAAAAGCATTCGCCTACCTCAGTTGTAAATCTTCATGATTTCATAGAGCACATAATGTAATGGTAGTTTTTGTCTGAAACAAATTTTCCCCTATCTTTTTAAAAATAAATTATGCCACTTTGATGTTTATTAATTCTTCTGTCCCTACTGTTTCATTCAAAATGCAATTTGTACCGGACTCTCACTATTTTCACGCTTATTCAACTTAGTTAGAAAGATGGGACTTATTAAGACACTATGAAATGGCTATAATAAAAACAGAACTAAACTATTTGAGAGTATTCATATACTGAACTGTAATCTTCGTAGCTATTCATGCTAATTTGTAGTACTAAATACAAATTTTTCTGTGTAATCAGCTCTTACGGACTCTGTTAGTGTCAGAGAGATAATATGATGGTAATTGATTACCATCATCTTACCTAAACCTGCCCCCAAACGCCCTGGTACGGCCGAGAGTGGGTAGTGTTATATCCTAGTGAAGATTAAATTACAGGTAACTTCCGAGGACTATTAATGGAATAATATTCTATAAATATTCCTATTGTATAATTATTCAATAATTAGATTATGTATATTTATATTCCCCTTATTATAAGCTTCATTTTGACCTATAATTTATTATTATACGATTTACTGTCCCTGAATTATGCTCAGTTTATTAACTACTGCATACTACGTTCACAGCCACTTTTTGGCTTTATTGTGTACAAATGTTATTTCCTATTTTATGCGTTGCGGTCTGTTTGATATATAAACACAGTATGTTTGAAATTTATGATTCGCATATTGGGAGCTGGTATTGGTGTTCTGGACTCAAGTGAACGGGCTAGGCGGACATAGGACCAATAAGAACGCTAGACTGCTCATACTGGCCGAACGTCATTGGTTTGGCACAGTGCTAAGATTGTATAATTCACATTTTGATTGATGGATAAATCACGTGATAAAAAGCCGGATATAAAGTCATAACAGGGAGAGTCCGCTCTCCCTTTCGAAATGCTCTCACATGGCCACGCATATATAGCCTCTGCCAGGGAAGTCCTATTCACTGCCTTCTCGTGGCGGGGGTGTTGTTTACGAAATTGAGAGGACGAAAAGTGAACGTCCGGCTCTTTAACCGGGTTGGTGGACATGGAGAGTCCACCTGGGGGAGTTGGAAAACCCTGATTACAAACCAATGGTGCACATGAGCTCCAGTATCCTAAAGGAACAAATGGCGTATGAACCAATCGCTGGTCACTGGCTACCATGGGACTGCATCTCTTTACGTTGCTCCACTGTCTTGTGGATCAGACCTTCAGGTCGAAGACTTCGGGTGTGGCCCCCTAAGAAAAACATCTGAATCGGTTTGGGCACTCAGGCAGTATCACAGCCCTCACACATATCAAATGAGATCTGTGTGGCGCATATGTATTGGTGCCTCCTTGTACCAATATCTATGTGTTAAAATAAAATAAATAAATACCTAAACCCGAAGTAGTCCGAGTGTGGGCTCAAACCTTGGAACCTATTAACCGAGAGTTGCTCCACACTTACGCTTTAGTGTTTTTACGTCCAATAGATATGTAATATTACACTCATCCCAGAATTCATGATATAATGATCAGTACTTCTTTAAAATCAACTTCTAATGCATTTATTTGTTGATACATCAAAAAAGCATTTGTTAAACAAATCAAATTCTCTTGTATAATGTCATCCAGACTTCTGTAATTTGTTTATTTGGAGGATTGCATAGTGCGTCATAATTAATCAGTTTTTTTATAAACGAAGATTGTGGAGTAAAATGAATTCATTAAATCATGGTCTTTCTCCCTTTTTCGTTCATCTAAAAATCGAATTTACGCAAATAGGAAAAGTAGTTGAAGTTGTCAGTAGTGGAATAAGTGACTCTATATATGTCACATACAATATTACATTTTTGAAATACTTAGTTTTCTGAATTCTATCAGTCAATCCGTATATAGAGGAAGATCAAGAGTACATGAAGTAAAATACATACACTTCATTGCTCATAATGTGTTTGTTGTTGTTCTTACTTTCTAAAAATGCCTGTCATCAAGGGAACAAATTGCATTGTATTTTAATTAGTTACACTATTCATTTCATGAAAATTTTCTGGGGAGTGTTTAATTTCTACTTGCCTCTGATTATTTCCATTCCACCCTCACCAAATTCATATACAAGTGAGTTGTAGTTTATTTTTATTTTCAGTGTTTACATGTTTCTCTCCTTGTTAACTCGTCAATCCTTTTATTGTGCTAACTTGTTATTTATATTTTCTTTAAATTACCATGTTTAGTTAAGAATATTTAACTACGTATCATCGATGGGGTTGTATCCGAACTGGATACTCAAAATAAGCGTTAATTGGGCTCCGAATTGTCACTAACACAACAAATATAACACTTTACACCCTAACAACAGGTTAAGATATTAGTTTAAAACACTTAAGTTCGACTCTAAAATTAATATTATCTTCGTACATAGTTACTTTACTAGTCATACAGGTATGAATTTTAACACAAAAATGAACTATATCATTATTTTTACATATTTTCCCCTTTCTAACTAGGAACTTATTTCAATTACCAATCCAAGTACCGTAGATATGCATTTCAACAATAAAAGTGATACATTGGATGTATCCTCGGTGACAAGCATTCAAACTGATTCATCATCTATTAGTAGACCAGATGATTCATTAGAGTCTACTAGCCGACGAAGGCATGATGCTTTCGGGAGATTCGATGCTATTATTATTACTACTACTACTACTACCACTACTGTTACTACCACTGCTACTAGTAGTAATCAAAGGTCGAATGATGAACACTATCCTAGGACTACACGTTGTTTATCATGTCGAGAATACGATAGTCAAACTTGTAATGGAGAGTTATCTACTCATGATTCTGATTTGAATTATCTTAAAGAAGTACATCTTTGGTTGAAAAATCCTAATCGATCAGTTACTATTGGCGATCAATTTAATTCTTCTCCAAATACAATATCGACAAAATCTTCAATAAGTTTATCGACTTTATCCGATAATATTCACACTTCTTTCCCATCTATGTTATCAAATTCTCAGTCTACATCTAAACTACAGGTATCCGATGTAGTGGATCCATTGTTGTTGACCAAGAACGATAATCATAATGGTAATAATAATTCCAGTTGTGTGGAACAAACACTTCCAGCCAGTGTTTATAATAATCGTCTGGACTTGTCTGCTGACTGCCAATCTATTAGCGAACTATGCATAAGTAAGTGTATGTGCGCTTCAATACTCTACTTATTTATATTTCCATATGCATTCCTGTTATATGGTTACATTATATTCTTGCAAAATGTAATTAATTTGAACTGGTTAACGGCTTTTCGAGAGGTTCGCATTATTCTTATAAATTGTTCCAGCAAATCACCTTCGATATGATAATATAGCAGTCAAATCAAATTGAATGACGTGTAACGCCATAACTTCTATTTTCATATTTTTCTCCGAACCTTGTCAGTATTAAAAGACAATATTTTGCCCATAATTAGAAAAAATTGCTTATTCAACAGTATAAATACAGTTCATGTGCACATTTCTTAATGAATATGGAAAAATAGTTGAATCACTTGCACTGATTTACAAACTGTTCGAACTATCCAACTAAATGAGCAGAGATGGATGTTGGCTAGCAGTAGAATCCAGGACGCGCGTTTCGTCTTGTTTGGACTCGTCAGCTGGATGTACCTACACTCCAGAGTTGGTGTTCACTCCGGGACTCGAACCCAGTACTTTTCGCCTCAAACGGCATCACGTTATCCACTTAGATACTGAGTCCAGATAGTCAACAGTTTATACAATAGAATGAAGTAATTCATTTTTGTATTGATTGTTTGAATCTTACCGGAGTGAAGATTAACTCTGGGATGCAGGTGCATCCAGCTGACGAGTTAACAATAAGCCGAAACGCGCGTCCTGGATTCCACTGCTAGCTACCATCCATCTCTGCAATGCTTGTGACTTGAAGTAATATCAAGGCAATCCGCACAGGATGCACATATACTAATAAGAGACTGATCAATCGCAATCCAACAACTAATACAAAAATAAACTATCTAACCATATTATTAGGACAAATAAATAGATGGATATTCACCCCTATATGTTATTTGTTAATTGATGACAATCGATTGAAACTCGTCTGCACAATTTGTATCCTAAATTTTGAAGTTAATTCACCCCCTCTTATGTAGAATTTGGACTCCTTACTGCATAACAATCAAAAAATTACGATTTAGAGTTATGCGATCTTTAATACTAGGTCAAAGCCTAGTAATGGTCGCATTACAGTTTGACTGATAGAATGCGATTAGTACTTAGGAACAGATAATATAATATTGGTTCCTAATATTAATTGATCACTTAGTCTGTAAATATCTGCTTTTATCTGGGAGCGGACCAAAGTATTTACATCTAACTTGACATCTTCCTACCACTTTTGTCAGTATTTATTATTTATTTATTTTAAGACATAGATATTGGTACAAGGAGGCACCAATACATATGCGCCACACAGATCTCATTTGATATGTGTGAGGGCTGTGATACTGCCTGAGTGCCCAAACCGATTCAGATGTTTTTCTTAGGGGGCCACACCCGAAGTCTTCGACCTGAAGGTCTGATCCACAAGACAGTGGAGCAACGTAAAGAGATGCAGTCCCATGGTAGCCAGTGACCAGCGATTGGTTCATACGCCATTTGTTCCTTTAGGATACTGGAGCTCATGTGCACCATTGGTTTGTAATCAGGGTTTTCCAACTCCCCCAGGTGGACTCTCCATGTCCACCAACCCGGTTAAAGAGCCGGACGTTCACTTTTCGTCCTCTCAATTTCGTAAACAACACCCCGCCACGAGAAGGCAGTGAATAGGACTTCCCTGGCAGAGGCTATATATGCGTGGCCATGTGAGAGCATTTCGAAAGGGAGAGCGGACTCTCCTCACTCTCGGCACTTGGGAGCTTTGTGAGTATTTTGCTGTGATAAAATGTAAAAAGGATTGGCTATTCATAGTCAATCTCATTTTAAAAAAATGGTCAGTCCTGTGTAGTTTCACTGAATGATGTAATGGTAGATCATGATTAAAGTCATCTAGGTTTTTGGTCAGACGCGCAAATAATCGACTATCTATAGTGTTATGATATTAATATGTCATAAGCTTAGTATAGTCTTGTGTAAGAAACAGTATCCATTTAATGCAAATGGCTACTTTAAACATTGTTCCCGTTGATTGGATGACCTAATCAGTATATAGTGAACCGGAGAACCATGTACCTATTTATATTCGATAATTTTGATGTTTGATTATATTTCCTTGAAAAACTTAGACCAGATTGCCAGGCGAAACGTTAGATTTACTTCGAATTCATTCGCTGAGATTTTACTAATAATCCCTTTCTCTTTTAAGTATCAATTTAGTTTATTGATACTCAATAATTGGTAATCACCACTAGTCTTCGGTGTTTCAGTTAATTTTTGTACTCAAAGATTTGAATTCTGAACCCTCTAGTGTGAATTTCTCTGTTCATTATTCGAAGTAGTCAGAATTAGAATTATTCGTCTTTTTAATCGTGCTATATTTAACTTATTACTCATATAGGTTGGTGTTCGACCAGTCGGTTAGACCATTGTATAATAATACATTTTAACGTATGATATTCGATTTACAACATGATGACTCATTTTGAGACTGACGGTGCTCATAAGAAACACAAAGCAACAAGTATTCTAGTAATTTATATTAACGTGTTTATTAAGTAAAGATTCGTTTACCTAGCTTCAACCCACGTTCCAAGTTTGAGGACTATTGATCCCATCCAGTTAATCAAATCGAGATAGGTGGAATGGAATTCACACCTATGACTTATTGACTGAAATTTGAACACCTTAATTACTGAAGTGATCTTTTTGACAGTAAAGGATATACTGCTAATGTAGTCGTACTTGAGTAAATCTACTGTCATGTAACACCCATTCAGTCTGTTTTTACCGTCTTGTATTAAGAAATGGAATGAATATCTTCAGATTTATGGCATCCAGTAATAATTAGTCGGTTTTATTAAGAAATATCTCTATAAAGTGATTGCTATGATCATATTAATTAGTTTTCTCCATTGAATTTCGCTACTGCCTAGATACAACAAGAACCTTAACAGCTTCTGATGGGCCTTCCGTTTATAAAGATCTAGTTCGATCATCTGAGGAATTTACTTCGTGTTCGCCACCGATTAACCTGAGTTCAATGAATAATCCAATGTATTCCTCGTCATCTACATCGAACAGAAGAGTCGTAGCCACAACATCAAGTTCAGACTTTCGTTTTGGTGCTGAGAAATGCTCGAAAACAATATCAGACTTTTGCCCCCTATTTCCAAAGCGTCATAGTTCCGGTTCTTCTCCAATCTCTACACCACCTTCTGAAGAAAGCAGTTCTGACTCCACTGCACTAAAAGCATCTTCACCGGAATACTGGACTCCAAAAGGCGCATCACGTTATATTCGTGGAATATACACACCATACCAATCTTACAGTCAAACATTTCGTCCTGTTGTGAATCATTCTCGAGAATCTCAAGTAAAAAACACTTCCTCTTCATGTCGATTATCCCAAGCATCTCATTCGATGGTTGTATCACAGTCCAGTAGTGTATCAATGCGCAAATCTTACAACCAATTCACCTTGGAGGATTTCCTTCATTATCAACTTTACGTTCCATGGTCAATGCGGAATCATCAAATGTTTCAACTAAACATAAAACGAGTAATGAAAATTACAGTTCTTTTAATAGTCATATCAATCATAGTTGTAACAACAATAAGGATAATGATAATGCATGTACTCGTCAATTACCGATCACATCCACTACTTTTCCCGCGTCCTCGTGTGAATTACCTAATAGTGTACAAAATTCTCAATTAGATTTTGATAAACTTCCAGGTTAGTTAAATATTTTAAAAGCAAACAATATTAATGATAAATAGTACATTTATTTGTACAGAGATAGGGCTATTTACAATTGATACTTGTTGATATATTAAAAATCGCTGAAAAAAGTATGTTGTCTACATACTGGTTAGTTAGTCCTGTTTTCCCATTTTTATTTTTTCCAGAAAGATCTCTTATTCTTGATTACTTTAAACATCTAAAACGTATTTTCACAACACAAAATGAATATTTAACTTCGTCATCTTAATAGCAGTATTGTATTGTACAAATTTATATATAGTTAGTCTTAGCTCACACTTTTATGCAAGTGATGCCAGCTGATAATCTTATTTGTTTGCTCAAATCAAAGTAGGCTGTTAAAGTAGGACTTGAACTAGAGACCTGTAATTCTTGGTAGGTAGCTAAGAGCTCTCACCATTACTCGACCACCTTCCTAATTTTTCTCATTATTTCTATTGCCGTCCATTTTCGGGGACGCCATATCTCCAGAAATTTCTTGTCTAACGTCTTTTAGAAACTTAAATTTATCGTTTTTCGCGCCAAAAGCGGCCATTTTTACCCTCAGATGGTATTTCCCACTTGGAAGGACCCTAAGTGTCATTGGTTTGTCACCTCTTTTAATATTCTGTTTTGTGGCGCTTCACAAGAACCGTTTTATACTGTATGTGTACGCTTGAATTGTGTGCTTGGTTCGTTCCTGCTTCTGGCTATTTGTGGAATATACTTTTCCCTCGGCTGAACCTGATCTTCTCCCTCTAGTTAGCCGGGCTGGGGCGCGTTGAGATAGTTTAGCTTTTCTTTTTGCTGTGTTGCAGACCTTCGTTCCGTTCGCCGGTTTTATTGATGTCGTAATCTGTTCAAACACAACACTATGTTACTAACTTTGTCTCTGTTTAGATTAGTTTTGAATCCTGTACTAATATACTCTATCGGCCTCATATTTGCTATAAGTTGTCCTGTAGACATTTATAACATGAAAACTTTAATCATAGGTTTTTTCCGATTTAAGCATCACAATACTGTGAGTCTTTTAGTCATTTTCGTTTAGGATGTGTTTCTCCCCTTCTAAATGCAAGTTGTTGCTTCAGGGCTGGCCTGCGTCAACACCTGAATTTGTAGAACGCGTTGACAACTTCACTTGGAAGTCTGATCAGCCCTAATAGGTTGGTGTCTGACAAAATCTCTGCACGGATTCAGAAAGCTCCTTTGGCTTTTGCCAATTTATGTCACCTTATGGCGAAGGCGAGATATCCGCCTATCAAGTAAGGAACGAGTATACTGTGTGGTAGTTCGTTCTGTTCTACTTTACAGCTTCGAAATGTGGCCATTAAGAGTAGAATATACTCGTAAGCTACTAGTATTTGACCACAGATGCCTTAGAAATATTGCTGGCATCTGCTGGGATCACCGGGTAAGTAATAGTGTGGTTAGACGCAGGGTATTAAGGAATGAAGGCAAATCAGTTGATGAGGTTGTAAGTCTTCATCGACTGAGATAGTTGAGCCACGTGTTACGTATGCCTGAACACCGTTTACCACGACGCGCAATGCTGACTGGTGTTGGAGATGGCTGGAAGAAAGTTGTGGGCGGCAAAACAAAATGTGGCATCAGTCACTGAAGTCACTAACTTCTATACTGAGCCATGTCGGTAGACGCAGACCACTTGGTTGGGGTCCGCGTGACTATCGTAATCAACGTTTGGAGACTCTGGGTTGCATGGCTCAGAATCGATCACAATGGCGTCGTTGTATACACTGTTTGTCTTCCCTTAAATCGTGAGATTAAAACAGCTTTACGTATTTCTTTCTAATTCTTTATTCCTGTACTATATCCTTATATGCAATCTTTCTTTTATATATTACCACCACTGAATTAACCACTTCTATGAATCCGGTGTTCATCTTGTTGTGTTAGTGAGGTATGACAACTTGGACTGATGCATATATATGGCTGATCGTACGTTGTAACTGACTGACTGTTTAGGTCATGTCACAAGACACAAAGCACTATTTGATATGCTTGGATAGGTTGCAAATGGAATAGATTTTTTTTATCTATTCTGTGTACGTAAATAAATTTTCGCTTTTCGATCACAACTTCATGTCTCCTTACTCTTTCAGTATGTGCGAAATGTAACCACTTTTCATCCACTGGCAGTTAATAACGTCGAGTAAAGTTCTTCATTGCTCTATGAATTTGCATCCAAATGGGTCTACTTTTAATCATTTCTCACTACACTACATCCTTTTCTAATACTTCATTATGTTTATCGTTGAATATCTAGATTGTTCAAAGAATAGGTCTCGCGAATGCAAAGAATTTCTATGCCTCGTTAATAGACAATAGTTCGTGGTGGAAATTATCTTGTTTTTATAGGTTTATTAAGTGAACTGTAGACCTGTTTGGTATCTTATGTTATTAGTGTTATTTATGTTTTAAAAATCTTTCGGATCTGGTTGAACTGCTTTTTGTCCATGATGTTTTGTATAAATTCTCAGTTTTTTTAAGTCGTTATCTTTCGTTTATTTATGTACTTCAGTTGTTTCTAACTACATGATACATGGTGAAAACGATAATACAGTTGTAAAATCAATCTCATCGAATTCAACTGATAATATTCAATTGGAGCCAAGTGTTTTCTCTTCTAATTCGTCGAATTTTCTTCCGATTATGATAACAAATTCAACTACTTCTTCACATATATCTGTGTTACCACGTGTTACCACTAGTACTACTATTACTACTACTACATCTGTCTGTACTGCTTGTACTGCTACTACTGGCAGCAATAATTTTTCCATCTCACCACATTATTGGATGTTACCTGAAGGTCCTATACCAATACTTCCTTCAACATTATATTCGCCATATCTATTGCCTACATCTACAATTTTAGAAAATTTCCAGTCAATGCAAAGACTACCTATGTTATATCAGTGGACAGTCCAATCGGCGGATACATCTAGTAACAGTATTAACTGTATTAACAATGTATGTGCATCTTTTATACCATATTTATCGCCCTGTGTTGGTATTTTCACTACAAACTCTGTGAATAATAATAATAATAATAATAATAATAATAATAATAATAGTGATGATGATACACAATGTGCCAAAATGAATATTCCGGAGATTAGTACAATTTATCATTCCCCTCAAGAATCTGATAACGACGAACACGATAATAATGATGATCATGAGCATGATGATATCGAAAAGAAAAAGAAAATCAAAGAACTAGATAGTCCATTACATCCTACCAGTACCACTGATGTCTCTATGAATAATAATAATCACAATATTGAAGTAACTACAAGTTCTTCAGTCTGTAATTCTCAGCTGGAACTACTTCATAAAGGCTTGTTTTCACAATCATACATCTTATTGCCTTCATACCCTCCTACTCCTATCCCTACTACTACCACTAATATTCTTCCATATTCAAATTCTAATATGTATGTTAATACTTTAAATTCTTGTGGAATAGTGCAAAATTCACCAGTTTGTCAAGCAAGTATAACGATAACAACAATTTGTAATAATAATAATAATAGTGGTGGTATCGATCTAATTACAAATAGTAATAGTTTGCTTACAAATCATCAGTTGAATACAACTATGATGAAGCAACTGAATGATGAACGGAATTTACCAGAGAATAAAAAGGCAAATGTGTCAAACGATACAAATATCTGTCCAGTATCACATGAAAAAACGTTTAATGGTATCAACGCCACAGCGAATAGTACGACCTCGCCTTCCTTTGTGACTACTGATACTACCATTTTAACGACGAATTTGAACATTAATCGTATCCATTCATCTAACCGGTCAGTTTTACTGGATTCATTTGCCAGTTATTTACTTATATATATTCAAAATTTGTCTGTTCTGCTTTTTATTTTTACAAGAATTTTGTTCTCGTTATTTATTAATCTTAAACAACTGTTATGGTTTCGGTTAAGATATGCGATACTGTCGGTAGAAAGTACGTATATCGATATCAGGGCCTTCTCCAATTCGTTGTATGAGATCATATATGTTTATTTACATCATAAAGGCTCTGTACACAAACTCTTCAAACAAGGTGCGGATGTATGACGACCTCACTCTATCGTTTCATTTCATCAGTGGAGTTAAGCAAGATTATCCTACTCCACATTTCCTCCTAGACGTTGCCTATTACATTCTGAAAATAGCTCTGTTGGGATTAGATAATGGGAGTGTGAACTCATTACCTGGAGAAAGACTTTTCAGTCTTGACTAGGCGAATGATTTTTATCTTTGCAATTATACTCTCAAGCTATGCGAATCTCACTTAATCAGTTGGCAGTCAATCAATGTAGGTGTGGTATGTACTTTGCAGCTTCCAAATACATTGTACACCTACAATACTGGGAAGAGATTTTTATGCACTCACTTTTGATGATGAGCACTTGAAAGTAGTCAAAAACTCCATATATCTGGATAGCTGTGTGAATATTTGTTTCACCATAACAGTTGAGATCGATCTACTTATAGTGAAATCCAATCCTGGGTGTCTTATACCGATCTAGATTATCTTTGGCGTTATCCTGGGCGTGATATTTATTATTTATTTGAACACATAAATATTGGTACAAGAGAGCGCCAATATATATGCGCCACACAAAACAATGAGGATTCGAAAAGAAAGAAAAAAAACTAAGGAGCGCAAAAGAAAAAGAGAACAATAACGAAGAGATTGGTGTAAGTTAGTGTGGTAGTAACGAGGGAACGGAAAGGTACAGTCAGAAGAAATCTTTCAGGTAAGGGAGACACAACCACTTTTTATGAAGAAAGTAAAAGAAGGTTACAGCAGGATCGCCACTGGCTTCTATTCTGAGCCATATCTGATAACGTCTCTAGCCACTGTGTAGCACCATCTCTCGGACCCCAACCAGGGAGTCGTGAAGGACCAACAGAAGCCAGTCCTTTGCAGCTTTCTTTCATGCCACGACACCATGTCATGCACTGACCACCTCTCCGCTCCTTCCAACCAGTCCCAGAGTCGGCAAATAATACACGACGTGGGATTCTCTGGGACGACATTCGTAGAACATGTCCAAGCCACCGAAGTCGGTGTTTCAAGATGGTGACATCGATTGCATTATCGTCTCTGTGCCCGAGCACACGATGCCGAACCTCTGCATTACTGACATGGTGTTGCCACTGAATGTCAGCAATCCTTCGGAGACAGCGATGATCGAACACAGAAAGTCGTCTAACATCCTCAACTCAGAGAGACCAGGTTTCACAAGCATAGAGCAAAACTGCTCTCACCGACGCGTTGTAGATCCGACCTTTTACAGCCAGACTAACATCACGAAGGCGCCAAAGATGGCCCAGATTGGTGGATCAGTCGTCACCGGCCATGGAGGGCAGGACAGTCTGATCGATGTTGCCGGAGCAGCAGGCCAGTTGAACTGCTCTTCGAAAAATTCTGCCCATCGTCCAAGACGTCGATGGATGTTAGTGATTGGCATCCCATCATCCCCACAGATTGTTTCACTCACACCAGACTTCTTGCTGCCAGTGGCTCGGATGAGCTGGAAGAGCTTCCGGTCATTACCAGCTGCAGCTGCTGCTTCCAACTCATTAGCACGCTTCGACCACCAGGCTTCTCGGTCCTTACGCAAGCTTTGCCCAATTTCCTTACGTAACATCCTTCGTTTATGGTCAAACTCACGGTCACCCGGAGTAGACCGACGGGCTTCAATGAGTTGTAAGGAACCAGAAGAAACCCAGTGCTTAAAAGCGGGATGTTTCGCGAACCCACAACTGACTGTTCCCGCCATTTTCATGGCGTCATGCAATTGCAACCAATGCTCATCTTTACTTTTCGGTGGAGTGGTAGCTAGCCTAGAGGCTAGCTCGGTTCGATACTTACTTGCAACAGAAGTTGCAACCAGCTTGCTAATGTCAATCCGTTGATGGCGGTCACTTCGTTGTCCACTGAAAAGTAAGGCGAGATTGGCGCAGACCAAGGCATGGTCAGAGTCCAGATAGGTACTCCAAAAGGAGGACGCCAGGTGGCACATCGGCGATGACTGTGCCGAAAGTTAGTGCTAGCCAGAAACAGGTTGTGGTCTGTGCAAAGTTGCAGTAGACGGTCCCCGTTATCTGACCTGCGACCAACGAGTCCCCATCGGCCACCTAAACGACTCTCTTCTGTGCCTAGACGCCCGACCTGAGCATTCAAGTCTCCGGCTAGTACTACAATATCTGTCGAACGCACTTTCTGGAGAAGAACAGATAACTGATTGCATCCGGGCTGCAATCTGTCGGGGCATAGGCGGAGATGACGAAAAGACATCGTTTCTCACGCCGATTTCTTCTCACTTTGATGGAACTTTCTAATCTAACAGCACATAACCGACTGTTAATGGGGATCCAATCGACTAGTGCTGCCTCAGCTCTAGCGCTTAGTGCGACACCAACGCCAGCAAGACCAGACGAAGATGCCACAGGGTCCCCGGATAAGCGCACGTAAAACAAGCTTTTCGAAGCGACAGATGGAGATCGAATTTGTAGTACTTCGCCAGAGTCTTGAATACGGGTCTCGGATAGACAACAACATCAATATTAAGACTTTCCAAAGACATAGCCAGCCCTATCTGTTGTCCGACCTGCATAAATGTGCGAACGTTGAAGGCAGCCAGTTTGAATGGTGCACGTGGTTTCAGAAAAACTGCTTCAGTACTCATATTCGGTGGTAACATACAATTTTCAACCGGACAGTGACTCGAGAACGTTTAGATACAGTCGAATTTCCACCAAAGACGAGCCGCTGTATAAGTATAAAAGAGGGTGAATAATGTGGTATAAAATAATAATAATAATAATTTGATTGTTAGTTGAAGCGAGTGAAGTAGTTTCCATAATTATAGGCAGTTCATCATATTTGTGTATGGGCTGTGATACTGCCCGGGTGCCCAGACCGAAGCAGGTGGTTATTTTAGGGGGCCACACCCCGAGCCTTTGACCTAAAGGTCTGACCCACAAGGCAGTGGAGCATCGTAAGGAGATGCAGTCCCATGGTAGCCGGTGACCAGAGATTGGTTCATACGCCATTTGTTCCCGCAGGATATTGGAGCCCATGTTCACCATTGGTTTGGAATTCGGTTAAAGCGCCGGACATTCGCTTTTCGTTCTCTCATTTTCGTAAACAACACCGGTGCCACGAGAAGGCAATGAGTAGGACTTCCCTGGCAGAGGCTGTATACGCGTGGCCGTGTGAGAGTATTTCGAGAGGAAGAGCGGACTCTCCTCACTCTCGGCCGTACCAGGCCATTTGGGGACCAAATTCGAATGGAGTGTGGTGGAATTGACGTGTGGTAGTGGACAAGGGACGTGTAGTCGTTGGATGTAGAGATGGTTGTGGAGTGGTATATTGCCACGGATTGAGAGTAATCCGGGTGTGTGTTGGTGGAGTAGTTGTACAGTGTGAGTGTATTGATAGATGTGTGACGAAGCGAGTGTTGATGTGTTGCGTCGAAAGTGGGTAGCGCCTCCGGGTGGGCTCGAACCACCAACCTTTCGGTTAACAGTCGAACACGCTAACCGGTTGCGCCACGGAGGCGAAAAATAAACAATACTCTTGTTCATCAACTGTTTTTTTTCAAGCTTTTAAAGTTCTATTTTACCTATCTTTATTTCTAGCCTAATACCTCATCAAGCATATGGTTCTAATCGTACTGATATAATCACTACGGAGGAAACTCATAAAAATCCACCAGTAAATACTGTTGAGAATTGTGACTGTTCAGATTCTACCAACAGTAGCAAACCTTATCCCTTATGGTCTACTAATGAAACTGTTTGTAATCCTACTTGGTTCTATCCTCGTTTTCCTGGTCGACCTGATTCTTCAAGTGGTCTACCCTCCAGTACTTCCGGGTCCCAACGTACTTACCCTACTCGTGGTTATTCACCTATGAATTTCAATAATTCTGTTCTACCACGCGGCTATGCTCAACCTCAAATTGCCAGTTCGTTTTACTATACACAACACCCTGGTTTAACATTAGTTCCAAATTCTGTGTCCAGTCATTCACCATTTATTGGTTCAGTTCCTAATCCAAATATGCACTTCCAACAACCACATCCCTTATACGGTTTAGTTCCTAGTTCATCTTCGACTTCTGGGGCATCACTGAATGGATACCCAGGAATTCCTATGGCCTCTACAAACTCAATTAAATCCAACATTTCTTCCATAGGTCAGTCATCAGTAGCATCAGTTGATCCTATATCAACAGCAGCCTTACTACAAAATGCTTTGATTCAAATACCAAATGTTCCTTTGCTACAGAACTTCGTGCTACATCCGCCTTTACATCCAACATATCCTCCGCCAATACCAAATATACCAGCTAATTGTGCCAATAATCCTGCCATGACAATTTCTTCTTGGTCATCAATAAATGGACCTAGAATAGTCAGTTGTTACAATTGTGGTCAGCCAGGACATAAAGCTAATGTTTGTCCATCTAGATGGTCTAGTCAACAATTATCAGAAAGTAAGCAAAAATTAACTGTTCCCTCAATTGAATTGATAGAAATATTATTTCCTACACACACTCCTCCCAAACTAATCCCCTAATTTTATGTTGAACAATTTTAATGTTATTCTCAGATTGATTTTAATCTCATCTTGTGTGTGCTCCATAGCTCTCTATACGTTCCTAAAAGGCAAAAAACGTGATTAGCTGTTAAGCATATCTCTTAATCAAATGTGGTAAGATGATCGTACGTTATACGCATATCTAAACCGGTGTTCAAACCAGAGACTTATTTTCTGAAAGCAGAGTATTTTAAAAAATAATCCTCCATTCTCCCAGATGATATCTTGCACTATGAACTACATTATTCATATTTATATTCGACACAACTTTAGTGGTTAAGACATCACTTTCAACCATTGATTCTCAGCTTCGAACCCTGTTCTATTGGCTTCGGTTTGGACAGTCGGGTAGTTATTACCAAGTATCCTTCATCCATAGAATACTTGACGTATGATAAGTTTTCATTCGTTTTGTATGAATGTTAATTTTCAGTACATTTCCTGGTTAATTAATTATTTAATAAATTTATTATTTCTTCACTCCATCAATTGGTAAATATCTGTATGTACTAGACTACAGTCCATAATTAGTGTGTGTATGTGTGTGAAAACATTCATCGACTTGGAAAATCGAGAGAGAGAAGCGATACACTTAACTTATCGATTTGAACTTCTCTCTAATTTTTATATCAGTGTTTAATATCAAAAGAAATAAATCAGACAAATTTTGTTTTAGAAATAGTATCTGTTCATTAAGGTGTGTATACACAAACACCATGCTCTAAAGCCTAAATATACATCTATAACCTTTATACTAGAAGTATGACTCCTCATAGTCTTGTTTATACAAACTACATGGATATTTAGTTATGTTATTCATGTATATATTTAACTTGCTGATTATAAATCTATTCATTCTTCAATCTCTTGAATTGGGTCTTTTATTTTCAATGTGATGATATCGTACTTTATTCCCTTCATGCTTTTCGAATTATATCCTCTCTTTGTTTAGTTTCAGTTTTTTTACTATTGTTAGTATTATCATAGAGTAGCACGAAGACTTTTGAAAACGGACATATTTGTACCAGATGCTAGTTCATTTGCATGAAACAATAATGAATGGTGGTAATTACATGTAGAATAATATACTTCTGACTTTCAACTTCTTTTAAAACAGTTGTTTATAACTTCATTTGACTGTTATACATAGATCGTTGCATTAATAAAAGAGGTCATCAGTAGCTGCACCGTATTTTGTAACATAATTTTGAAATTCATTTTAGCACAACACAATTCTTACAACTAATCAAATCGTATATTGGCATTCTGTATTAAGTTAGATGGATAAGAGGTTGCTGAAGTGTGAAAGGTTTATGTGTTCTGTTTTTTTAACGGTTATATCATTATTTAGAAATACTCCTTTTTAATCAATTCATGTGATAATTGCACTTTCTCACATCAAATCACATTATTGATTGTTTATTTCTATTTTCATTTTTCTTCTTTGTCTGTGTGTTTGTATATATAGATGTTTTCTCGTTAAATTGTGCTCCAAGAAAATAGTATCAAACTATAAAGTAGTAATTATGAATCAAAACAACTCTGCAGAATCACAACCACCGCCGCATAAACTATGCTGCTGACTATGGAACAGAATTGTGTTTATTATTATTCGAAAAACCTTTCATTGATCTATTATTATTATTTCCAATTACGACAATAGACACCGTCATTACTAACGAACTAATCGCATACATGTCCATAATTATGATTATTTCATTCTCTGATTTTTTTTTCATCAACAAAAAATAATTTACACAGTCAAAAAAGATACTAATTACCGTTTTGCCGAGACATGGATACACAAGCATTGCCTTGACTCATATCGTTTTTTTAATTCAATGTCCAAGTTAATAGTAGAAAAAAACTGTATTTTTGAAAGAACCTGAAAAGTTCTTTTTTTACTATTGATTTTGACATGAGTTTACAGATACCTACCATCTTACAAACCTTGTATTTTAAATTGATATCTATGCATGTTAGTGTGTTTATTTATATGGTGTGTGTGTGTGGTTGGGTATCTTACTTTTAAAACAGTCAATATACTGAACAAAACAATAAGTCCAACAATTCTTCCTAGCATTGTTTTACATTTCATCCTGAATATTGAATTCTTTTTAACTATTATTATTATTATTCCCATTTTAAAAAAAAAGTATGATGAATTCTTTTTATAATATCTATCATATAGATTGTAGAGAGACACATTGCTTGATCTAGATATTATATACACACAATTGTTTTCTTTTTATTACCCCCATTTACTTATTTGTATTCTAGCTTGTAAATACTTATACATTGTGTATATGTTGTTCACCTGTTTAACTAAAACTACACTTTCTTTTGAATTAGTAGTATTTTGTTGACATTATAAGCTGTTCCTTCTTTATATTTTGTATTGTACACAAGTAATATATGTATGCTAATTAGCTTCATTTTATTCAATACCTGAGAGAAACTATGCCATGTACAACTTACTTTACAAATATTTATGATAAACATGATTTGATATTTATCTAATAAGTCGGGTCGCTGCATGTTTTACACACTATGGATCACGGACGATGTAGTCCATATTGGAATTGTGCTCCTGTTTTTTTCCCTGTGCTCCTACTCACTCCTACTGGAAATGTCCCTAAGCTAGGGAAAAAGATAAGTAAGCACGATGGAGGCGAGAGTATATATGTGTGTGTTTTATTCTATGTGAGATCCATAGTCATCCTTTTTTAAAAATTATTTCCCTTCATTCTTGTTTTTATAGTCGATTATTATTATTCAGTTAGCTTTTTGCCTGCCTACCTACCTGTTTATCTAGATGTTTTTGTCTGTTTTGCGTCATGTTGCGCACACGACACCATATAACATCTGTTTTTTTGCTTAGATATATGCATTTCCTTACGTATACATATATGTTGTCTCTATTCTCATTATGCCATGGCAGATAAGAAGGTAGACATAATATGTATTCTGCTTTTATTCAGGTGATAATAATAACAATAATAGTGGTAATTAGTTGTTACTATCTTGAGACAAACACTTGTTACTGTTGTTGCTACTTCATTGTCTTTCTCCAAATGTGTATCTTTATACTTGTGTGAATAAATCTCTACCCATTTAACCTTTACAATTTGTTTCCAATTATGTATGTTCGAGCCTGTGAAAAGATGAACAAATAGACAAAATGTCCACTTTACTTTCTCCATCCCCTTACCCTATTCCAATAGCCAGTTATCATAAATTGTGTATGTATTTGCATATACTTCTATTCTCGATTGCCTCTCTTTTCTCTCTTTTGATTGTATTAGTAGGTAGTACAGTTTTTATTTTTTAAAAATTGTTAATAAATTAAAAAAAACAAATAGAAATCTCAATATTCTGTTTTGTTTATTTTTTCTTACCGAAAATAAGTACATGTAAGTAACTTCATTTCAAGAAAACTAATTACTGTGTTATGATGAATAGTATGCACAGGTCTATGGTGTAAATCATGTATCTTCTAAAATGAACTGGTTTGAATTCACCACTGTTGCTACTACAGTATTAATAATATCCTGCTCAATAACCAGTGTACATTTATAACTTTTTATCGGCTTTATAAACAATCAATGAATATATAGTGGACGGTGGCGTAATTCCGTGGATTGGTTGAAGTTAGACATTAACACCGTTGGATGCCGGTCGGCTCAGTGGTCTAGAGTTTAAGCGTTCGTGCGTGAAACCGAAGTTCCTGGGTTTGAATCCCACGAGCGGAATCGTGGATACGTACTAGTGAGGAGTCCAATGCTTCCAGGTTTTCAATGGTGGTCCAGCTTTAATTGACTCATGAATCCAACTATTAAATTAATATACACTTGTCATAAAAATATACTGATAAAGTTTCATATTTTCATTTATCTGGATTTATATCACAATAGATCCGGAGAACAGTATTTAATGAGTTTAAAACCTCGTTGAACTCAGTCTTCAAATCTTTAATCGTGTAGTTAACATAAAATTGAGATGAAACATTTTTATTGTTTGATTTTTAGTTATTTTCTGAATAATCTTAACCTATTATAACTAAAAAAAAAGATTATGGAATGGAACAAGTCTATGAATGAGGCTTTTAAACAAAAATCACCTATTCGACGGCTAACTATAATATGAAGTCCTAGCAAATACGTGTAGGGTTCACTTATGTGATAAATTCAACTTTTGTCTTCTTTGACTGTCGCAGGGTATCAAGAATTCGAATCGTGCATTATCATTCAGCGAATTAGACAATTACCGCTCATCTCGGACTGTAATTCATTTCAGAGGTATTTTTACCCTATGGACTGATTACCATCAGTAGGTTCCCACCACAAATTATCGGGTCGGAAGTATAACCTTTAATTACTTACTTCTTGTTGAAAACAAGCTATGCTGCCCCAGTTTAATCGTACAATCAGTCATAAATTAATCCAGTGTTCAGGTGAGCTCAGGGTCCATGGCCCGACTTAAAATATACAAAGTCCTATTAATCATATACATTGGTTTCTGATTATATACATGTATTGTCAGCTGATGAGCATGAAAAAATGGCAACAAAATATCATGTTAATCACATTGAACAAACTATTCGTCTGCACACATACTTGAAACGTAAAGTATAAATGATCTTATGATTTAAGCTAGATACTCTTAATCTTATCATTCACACAATATGCTTAGTTCGTAATTGTGTGAAACTTAACAAATCAAATTATCTAGAAAGTGTTCAATATTACCTTCTTCGTCAAATGAATCATTCAGAAAGTATACAAACATCTTAATAAAACATCCATTTCTCCTCTGCAAGTTTCTAATCATTGCATTTGTCCACAAAGGTAAACAAAAACAATTATTCTTATACGTTTTAATACATAAACATCTTCATGTTTTCCATCGGTTACAACAAACAATAAAATAATATTGTAGATCCTTTTAGACGAAGTGATCATGTGTCTAGGAAGTATTTAACTAACAACTAACTTACAGTATTTTCCGTATGGTCATATTGGTAAGCTCTTTATTCAATAATTATAATGGTGTCTGTGATAGTGAATTAACTATAAATGTTTAGATAAGTTTGCTTTGTGAAGTTTAGATTAATTAGAAAGTTTTTATTATATTAACTGAAAAGCAAGGATCACTGTTCTGTTTCTAATTCGTTTGAGACTCCTAGAAGTGTTTACATACCACCTCACTAGAGAGATTAAATTCCTGTCTCACAGTGAAGGTAATGATTTTAGATCACCACGCCAAAATCCTATCATTCAAATGTTTATATTCAGTTGATTTATTCTGCGATCTTACTGTCTTTTGACGTCAATTGCGGGCATCATGAGGTTGTCGCTTAGTTTTCATTAGTCTGTTTGATTAAACCTGTAAATCATTAATAAATATTGTACTAACAGAATTTGAAGCATTTAGATCAATTCGCGGAGTGAACACTGTATAGCTCTCCCTTTTTTATGTACAGAATATAACATTAAATGAATCATGCTTGACGTAAAAAATTGTTTGTTTAACTTAACACCCTTTGATTCTCGATATACTACGTTCGACAATATAAGTTTATTGAAGTAAAAAGTGGTAATACTGTCTTCAAATTAAATAAAACTATTTTACATAGACTGAGTTGCTTTCATATTAATATATATTACGCCCATAAACATTTGGTAAAGACATTTTTTGTTATATATGTAATGCTTAAGAAGTTATAATATGCATGTTTAACATAAAACTAATTTTAAGCAAAGGTCGAATAAATCACCTGGACATGTATTGAAAATAAGTATTTAACAATCTATTGTTGACATCCAACGGTTGTAAAGCCTAATCAACAACAGCCCTAATCTAAATAATATAAATTAATAATAAAAGCTATGTTTAAATATTTCTGTTTTTTAGATCCCGTTTCTCTTGCTCTAAGTTTTAAACGTTGCGCTAGGACAGGTCTTTCTCAACGTCTAGATTGATCATAGGGAGAAAAGCAGTTAAAATTGCTAACCACTTCATTTGCCTTGAGATTTCAATCAGCCTTGTTAGTCAGATGTCTAAAAAAAATACCACAAATACAGGAAGTTTGTCACGTTTGGATAACCTACATCACATTTGGCATAGATCAGTTATGAAGCAGATTTCATAGCAGCTATGTTCCAGATATTTTTGAACATCTGGTCGAACTCTTATCGATTTCACGCTTTCCGTACCTTTCTACTGATTCATTAGGAATATTTTCTTCATTTCTCTGAATGTTACGTAGTTCATTTAATATGATTTATAGAGATATTTGTTAGGCTATTTGGATTTTTCCTAAAAAAACATTGCATATTGTTCGACACATACACATCCAACTTACTGCGCGCTAAGGCCTCTGTCTAATCAACATTCACTAGCCTGATTCACTGATCCTACTGGCAATAGAGGGGGTACGATGATTATAAAAACGACAAAATCATAAGGGCCTCAACTTAATACAATGGACCTCTTCATTATTTTCTCCATTGTATATCTCGGTAGTTTCTGCTTCAGTGCTTAACCAGTTAAGTGGGACAGAAAATATCATTGTTGTAATTCTAGTAGATAACTTAACAACTAACCGTGCAGTGCGTTTGAACTTCTCGTTACAGTAATACCGTGTGCAATATAAAGTTTTTCAATATCGTATTGTATAACTCATAAATAGCATTCGAATTATCACTTACAGCAAAATGGGTAGACTGTCAAATAAACGAGCCCGGAAAATCCCTAGTCCTTCAAATAATAACAACTCTGTCACCTACCTATACCCATGCTCTGCAACTCATTTTGAATCAGATAATGTTGGGAGTGAACCTACACCACACCTGATGCTGGATGACTCAGTCTCTAATTCAATAATGAGTTATACATCAAAATTGATAAGCATCGATAATATTAAGAGAGAATTAGACAATATCTATAGGCAATTAAGCGATATGCGTCCTAAAGCGGGCTCTTTATCAAAGTATGATGATCTTAAGCATGAACTAAAGACACTAGCAATTACTATAAAATAGTTGTTCATGCTTTCCCTATCTATCCCTTTTATAACAGACCCATACAAAAGACCCTTCTTCAATAGTATGGACCCTATAAACAAAAACCTCGGGCAGAGAGAGGGCATACAACCACCTTTCTCCACTGTTCCATTCGAGCAGTGGGGTTAAGCAGGGTTGCACAATCTCACCATTCCTCTTCAACTTTGCCATCGATGACATTCTGGAAACAGCTCTGATGAATGCAAGTAATGGTGGTGTGGATATGTTGCCTGGAGAAAGACTTCTCGACCTTGAGTATGCGGACGATATTGTCTTACTGTGCGATAATGCCCGAGGCATGCAATCCGCACTTAATCAGTTGGCAATCAGTGTCCGTAGGTATGGTATGTGCTTTGCACCTTCGAAGTGCAAAGTACTTCTACAAGACTGGCAGGATTCCAATCCTGTACTCACCCTGGATGGTGAGCAGATAGACGTAGTCGAGAAGTTCGTGTATCTGGGTAGCTGCATAAGTGCTGGTGGTGGCATGAGTGATGAGATCAACGCACGAATAGTGAAAGCCAGAGCGGCTTATGCCAATCTGGGCCATCTTTGGCGCCTTCGTGATGTTAGTCTGGCCGTAAAAGGTCGGATCTACAACGCGTCGGTGAGAGCAGTTTTGCTCTATGCTTGTGAAACCTGGTCTCTCTGAGTTGAGGATGTTAGACGACTTTCTGTGTTCGATCATCGCTGTCTCCGAAGGATTGCTGACATTCAGTGGCAACACCATGTCAGTAATGCAGAGGTTCGGCATCGTGTGTTCGGGCACAGAGACGATAATGCAATCGATGTCACCATCTTGAAACACCGACTTCGGTGGCTTGGACATGTTCTACGAATGTCGTCCCAGAGAATTCCACGTCGTGTATTATTTGCCGACTCTGGGACTGGTTGGAAGAGGCGGAGAGGTGGTCAGTGCATGACGTGGTGTCGTGGCATGAAAGAAAGCTGCAAAGGACTGGCTTCTGTTGGTCCCTCACGACTCCCTGGTTGGGGTCCGAGAGATGGTGCTACACAGTGGCTAGAGACGTTATCAGATATGGCTCAGAATAGAAGCCAGTGGCGATCCTGCTGTAACCTTCTTTTACTTTCTTCATAAAAAGTGGTTGTGTCTTCCTTAACTGAAAGATTTCTTCTGATTGTACCTTTTCATTCCCCCCATTATTATTATTATTATTATTTTTATTACTACTACCTTACAGTAATCTGTTCGTTATTGTTCTCTTTTTAACGCTCGTTACCTTCTTTTTTCTCTCTTCGGATTCTCGTTTTTTTGTGTGGCGTATATATATTGGCGCTCTCTTGTACAAATAT